TAACTTCCTCAGTTTAACAGCTAGAGAACCTTGCCCTCTTCATAGGCCAGCACAAGATTTGTGGTCTTTTGTTACAATTCTTTTAAGGCTGTAGCATCCCACCAACAGAATAACCCAGCAGAACAAGCAGGTGTCAATTGAACACATCACTGTGTTCTTGAAAACTGCAGCAGAACAGCAGAAGATCACAGAATCATTTAGGTTGGAAAAGACCTTTAAGCTCATCAAGTCCACCCACTAACCCAGCACTGCCAAGGCCACCATTAAACCATGTCCTAAAGTGCCACACCTCAACATCTTTTTAACACGTCTTTAATACATGCAGGGACAGTGATTCCACCCTGGGCAGCCTGTTCCAATGCTTGACAATCCTTCTGGGGAAGAATTTTTCCCTAATATCCAATCTAAACCTCCCCTGGTGCATCTTGAGGCCATTTCCAAGATGCTATGAACTTTTAAGTATCTTTTGGCTTACCCCTAGAGCAAGTTTGTCCATGATTTTTATTGCAACTTTTTCACCAGTGAGAAGATGGCGTCCAAGTTTTACCTTTGCAAATCCACCTAAAATTCCAAAAAGAGACAAATTCAAAGCTTAGCATGATGACATGCGTTCTTGTCTGCAATCTTGGAACTACATTGGAGTATGTAGCAGGCACAGCGTGCAGTGTGTTCACTTGAATAAGGGAATCACTACTACACCTTCTGAGTTTATTTTCAGAGTTCTGTTCCCCAAAGCCCACCCTTGAAACATGACCTATAGATTCTGCAGTAACAGCTGATCTGCACTCAGGTAAATACTGAAGCAGTTAGACCACACGCATTTGTCTGCATTAACAGACTGAGCCTACCTGTTCCAATTGTTTCATGTAACTCATAGTACTTGAGAATCTCCTCACGGTCACCGACAGACATTTTGAGAGGTACGGGGATCTTGCACTCCTCAGCACCTGCAGGGAGGAAGCGTGGACAGCGGTCCTGATTTTCCACTCGGAGCGTACTCACACACAGAAAGCACATTCGCTGCAGCCTACACGCCTAGCAACAACTCCTCTAGGCAACGAAGTCCGAACATCGCAGGCTAAGGGCACAAAAGACCGTCATCTTCTAGGGACTTCGCAACAACGCCTAGCAGCGGTAGCAGGAACATTCCTGCTGCTGCCCCGTGCCCGCGGCCAGGGCCTAGCACCCCCGGGCTCCGCCCTACCGCCAGGGAACGGCAAGAGCCATCCAGTGATGACGGGGGCTGCATGCCGCTAGCGAAGGGAACAGCACTCACCTCCTAAGCAGCCACCTCCCGGGGCGGCTGTTACCGTTCAAATCTCCTTCCGCAGAGCCCACTTCCGGTCACGGCTGCCGAGGGGCCAATCACCGCGCAGCGCCTCACCGGAACAGGTGGGGCCGGGAGAGCGAATGCCGCCCGGGTGGAAGCGTCTGTCCTGCCACCTGGTAGCCGGCGGGATGGCTTCCACTTTGGCCGCGCCGGTTCCTAGAGAGATGGGAAATAGAGCCCGCTACCGCTGTGAACCCATGCTGCCTCCTACGGCCGATGGCGACGGGCCGGGGGGCTGCGCCGTAGGGAGTGTCGCCGCCTACAAGAAGGCTGCCGCGGCGGCAGCGCCTGCCGCTCCAGTGGGACTGTTCAGCATATAGAGGCTGGTGGAACGTATTATTTCTGTAAATTGTCTCTGTGATGCGAAGGGTTAACCGATGTACGGGGGGGGTAGGATTAAGCCGCTTAACGGTGTTACTGCTTACTCGTGCTTACTCAACAAATACCTGCTCAACACTTACCATGCTTGCCGGGAACAGGGTGGGAGGACCAAGGCTATTGATAGGGGGAAGGAACAGTAACTCCTGTTCTCTGGACCCCTAAATCAGCTCTGCGGTTTGGACAGTGACCAGATCACCAGGGAACATATGCAACAACTAGAAATGAAAAGTTCAGGGAAGACTCGTTTTCTCCATCTTGAGATCTCCGCCTATGACCACCAGGAGACACTATGTAAGCAAGGACCTTTACCTTATTATAACATGAAGCAGGGATAGGTCATGAATATGTATAGGCATGTTGTGTAACCTCGTAACTATGTAATAGTTTAGAGGATAAATATGAAGGAGAACAATGCTGAGGTGCGCATGCCTTTGGAGGAGGTATCCCCCATGAGCCTCAGCGCTGAATAAAAGCATGCCTACTTTACAACTTTAACGAGTTGTGGAGTCTACCCATGTATCATCTGCTCTGCAGCCTTCCCAGGCAGACGAAGTCTTTCCTGAATAAAGAGATTTACATTTCTGAGGATAGGGTTCCATTTTCTCCCCAGTGAAAAAAAAATGATGTGGGAATCCAGAAGTTAAGTCTGGCCTGTTAACTGTAATACTTATGTGAAAACCAAAGGAAAGAGGGAAAAGCGGTATCTGGGTCTTGACCACATGGCGAGTGCCTTCATGAACCATGACAGACAAGTATTTTGCAAGGGTTTTTCTAAACACATTATACTGAGGTTTAATTTACTTTTGTTTGTGGGTTTTAATTAATTCTAGGGTTTCTTCTGTCTTGCAATAGCCATTCAGGTATCAGCAGTAATAAATGGAAAGTAATAAATGAAAAATAAACAAATATTGTAATGCATTCTTAAAAACTTTATTAGTGTGACACAGGTTCTTAGTACAGACTGTGAAGTACAGCAAAAGTCTAAATATCCCCTATTTAACTCTCCGGGCTGTCTCTGTCTGCAGTGCTACATACCAGAGTCAGATTTTGGTATGGAACATTGGCATGGCCTTCCTCTTCAAGCACATTGAGAAGCAGTACACACATGAGGAGAGAATAAACCACATGGAGGCACCTGGCCACCTCTGTGCGAGAGCCTGGTCTGCAACAGGCTTGCAAAAGGCACTTGCGCCTGTTCATTGCAGAGCAGGTGAACATGATGTTCCCTGAAGCACAAACAACTGCCCTACATTCCCTGCTGGAGCCTGAGGAACAGAGGCGAGGACTAGAAACAGTGCAAATTAAAATAAAATATTAAAATAAAAAGGGAGTACGCCTGTTGACCTGAACTTCTCTGCTAATGCTTGTGTACCTTTATTTCCTTTGCTGTGATGGTAATTGTGGCATTGTTACACTAGGATTTGTATTTGTTCAGTCCAGGAGACTCCTGAAATTACAAAATAACAGTACAGATACCACTGGAAGTAGAAACTTAGAATTTGTATCTGGTGTGTTTTTCTTGTTTTAACTACAATTAAGGCATCATCCAAAATACTTATTACTACATGTGCTTGATGAAGCAGTTAATCCCCAGTTTTTCAGTCTTTAGCTACCACACCTTACTTACAGTCTACCAGGAACTGGCTTGCAGAAAGAATGCACAGCCAGGCTGAGGATAACTAAAGCTCAATATATTCCAGAATACTTAATGCATTCACTGCAATGTTAAAAATGCTAACACATACAAATTCTTCTGAGATTTACAGGCACTATGTGGAGATTATGTGCAAAAGTCTGCAGTTTTTTTTCCTTTGGCATTGCTATTATAAAATATAGTATTTCTTGCAAATATAAAGCATCCTTTCCCTCTGAAAACTGAAGAAAATTACAAAAATGTCCAAGTATATGAGTGTAATAAAATTAATGGCTAAAGTGGGGAAAAAAAAACCCAAAAAACCCCAAACCTAATACAACTTAGTCCACTACTGGGAAAAAAGAAAATATGGAAAAAGACCAGCAAGTTTCACCATACAAAGACCACCCAGCATAACCATGCTTTTTTTTGCATGAGCTTTTGTTCTTCAGGAATTATTATCCACCAAGAGAAAGAAGGTGTTTTATGTGATGCACCAAGAGCCTGGGGGAAAGAAAGAGGAAAAAAAGTTAAGAGTGCTCATCTTCTTTGAGAAAAATGTCACAAAATAAATCTGGGATGAATTATCAGAAACAAGTCTCCAGACAGAAAGAAATCTAGGAAGACTTAATATCACAAGGCATTTGGTATTGTTTGAAAGTGATACTGCAGTGAGGACAGCTGCCTGCTGCAGACAGCAGTAATGATGCATCTTTGTCTTGCTCATTTGAGGTTGGTTGCCAAATCTCCACATAGGATTTTGCCACATTGTCCTGGGTTCCGCAGTAGCAGAAACATGACTGCTACTGCGGAACCCAGGACACACATATAGTCAATTCTCCTCCCAGGGGAGCCAGGACCACCTCTGCAGCCCAAGAAAAGCAGCTCCCCTCAGGTTCCTCAGGATGCTAGAGCTGGGACACTCTTGGCTGGCATGTGGTACATGGATCCGGCCCAGGATGTGCTTCAGCCTCTCCCCTCCATGCCCCAGGAAACCCCCCAGCCTGAAGCACATGTATCAAACATTGAGGTGTAGTTAAGTGAATGCCCCCATGAACTAACAGTGATGATGAAAGACTCCAATTACTCTCTCTTACGTTACAGGTGTGATCAAGACAAGTACAAATAAGTATGTGGCATCAGGTGGAACATGTGCATAGAAGGAGGTTGTACTTGTGCCAGGAAAGCTGAGAGCAGAGCACTGAAACCTGCTCTACCTGCCAGTTTATCTGTGGGGATTTTTACACCTGCTCTGCCTGCTGTTCTGAAATTAACCGGGTGCAGAAGTACTGTCAAGAGTCACTGTCCTAAAGATAAAAACAAGCAGCTGAGATGTGCTTGTTCTTCAGTAGTCTAAAAAGGCCTTACAGTGGAAGCACAATGTCATGCCTTGGAATCCTCAACTGCAGAAACCTAAAGGAATGCACCTATGTACAAGTACAGACATAGGGTGTGAATAAAAAGTAAGGCTTTTTCTGCCCAGGAACACTGAGCTTCAAAGTCATTGCAAGTGTGTGTCTAACAGTGCCTCTAACCATGTCTAGGTTTAGTAAAAGGCTGCGAGCAAAACTTGGCTTCAGTAACACTCGCATGAAGTTGTCTTTGTGATAAAGAGAAGAGAGAGGAAGAAATCTTACCCAATAACGTTAACGTTAGCTTTAATGTTAATGTTTAGCTTGTTTTCTGCTTCTCAGATTTGCTGCTGGAGGGCTGTCCCTTTGCCTGAAGAGCAAGAGAAGCATAACAGTAAGAAACTGCAAACTACGTTTCTGAAATAAAAGTGACAGATACTTTTCAGAAGACACAGTTCAGACATGAGTATGATCTGCACTTAAAATGCAAAAAGTTTAGTAACTGCATTTGTAACTTCTGTTGTGTCTATATATTTTATTTTTTCCATGAACACTTTTATCTTTCAGATATGTCCTCTTCGTATTCTACTTCTGAACATCCTTTTACCCATGCTAGTGATCCAGTCACAACTCAGAATATTAAAAAATACATCCTTCTGAAAGGGAGTTAAAGACACTCCCCCCCCCCATTCAACATAAAAAATTGAAAAGCATTTCTGTTGTTACACAAAGGCATGTATACCAATTTCATAATACTGAAAAATGACATTACTTGAAATGTGAAACGCAAGATTTCCCAAGCACATATTACCATCTGATTCAGGCACCTACCTGCATGTATCCTGTGAGAGAATGTGATGAGAAAAATCCATTTTCTGTATTTCTGGATGACAAAGGCCAAGCTAACCTTTTTTTTTTTTCTTAAGTATATATAGAATCAACTGCCTTCCTTTTCCCACCAGATTCATTATGCACATTTCTTTATAAATAAAGGTAGGGCTTTATTTTTTTTTTCACAACAAATAATAATAATGTAAGAACAGACATGTAGTTGAAGGTGTATACCCTAATCGATTTTAGACTGCTGCTATTTAAAAGAGAAGAGATGTGGATCTAAGGCAACTGCAGGCACATGAAGTGTGACTTTAGTATCAGCAAATATGGGAATGAAGAGCTTGTGGAGCATGCACTGAGACCCCTGGAGAATACCATACTTTCTCTGAAAGAAATATATTTTAGCCCCCTTTTATTGAACATTTTCCATGTAACAGAAAGGTGCTTTTCCCCTATGTATACGCTTACAAAAATAGATTAAGTTCAACCTATCCATGTAAAATTCTCCCCAGAGTAACAGCCATGTAATACGAATCCAAAATCCAGTTGCCCGGGTTTCACATTTATAGTGTATGCTAACCATGATTTTCCATATTATAATACATATCTTTCTACCGTTTTAGGGTCTTTGGGTTTTCCCTTAGCCTTCGGGGTTGGCTTAGTGGTTTCCTTTCCACTTCTGTCCTACACTCCAAAGAAAAAAAATAATTACAGTTACAAATAGAATAGAGAATTGATGGCTCCTACTTCAACACCTGCCATAACACATTTTTTTAAATGCAGCTGTTAGCGTAGGAGAGAGCCCAACACAGGATGCATGCAAGTAATTACTGCCACTAGTCCATGGCAAGGTGGAATCTGGAGCTTCATTTAATACTGGGGAGATGAGGGCACCAGAAAGCATACTGAGATAAAAAACCTGGTATATGGGCATATTTTGTATTTACTACAAAGCAATAATGTTGCAACAGCAGATTTAGCAGATTCAGAAGTTTATAACCAAACAAAACAGCTCTTTAAACACCAACAGTTTGCCTTAAGCCATCTGAGGATTTGTTGTCAAGGTAAGCACCTGGGGAAGTACTGCAGAGGCCAGAATAGCTATTTGGAAACACAGATATTTCCTCCCAGGAATTACATCTGATGTTAACTTCAGTTTGCAAACTGCTGCTTTTTGACCCCCGGGAGAGGAACAAACACATCATAAAAGCACAGATAATAATAATCAACATTTTAAGTATGGACAAACTTGTAATTCACTCTTGGTAACTGGGTGCCTTATAGTATATGCTTAAACAAAGTAATGTAAAAGTTCACCTGGAAACTGGTTATGCTTCCATACCTGTGTCTATACAAGGGATTTAATTTTTAACTGCTAATATACTGGTTTGGCGAAAGATCAAAGATCTTGTAACCTCAAGCTTTTTTTTTCATTTCTCCTTGCAGGAAGCAGGCAGGGATAGGCTGGCAGAAGTCAGTAGCATGAGAGACAACAGCAGGTGCTTTACTTAGCTAAGTTCAAAAAGTATTCATCATTTAAAACCATGTGGATCATTCCCTCTGTCTGCAGGTGAGAGATTAGGGCATAGGACAAAACACATCACATCACAGAACCACAGACTGGGTTGGGTTGGAAGCGATCTTAAAGCTCATCCAGTTCCAAACCTGTGCCACAGTCAGGGACACCTTCCACTAGACATGGTTGCTCCAAGCCCCATCCAACCTGGCCTTGAACACTGGCAGGGATGGGGCAGCCACAGCTTCTCTGGGCAACCTGTGCCAGGGCCTCCCCACAGGGAAGAACTTCTGCCCAAGATTTCATCTCAATCTCCCCTCTGTCAGGTTAAAGCTATTCCCCCTTGTCCTGTCCCTACAGACCCCCCCCTCCAGGTTTCCTGTAGCCCCTTTAGCCACAGGAGCTGCTCTAAGGTCTCCCCTTAAGGAGCCTTCTCTTCTCCAGGCTGAACCAGCCCAGCTCTCTCAGCCTGTCTCCAGCGCAGAGCTGCTCCACCCCTCGCAGCATCTCTCTGGCCAACTCCAGACTCGCTCCAACAGCTCCACATCCCTCTTGCATTGTTGCCCCAGAGCTGGACACAGGACTGCAGGGGGTTCTCCCCAGAGCACAGCAGAAGGGGAGAGTCCACTCCCTCGACCTGCTTCTCATGCTCTGGGGATGCAGCCCCGCACACAGGGGTGGTTCTGGGCTCAGGCACACATGGCCTGGTCAGGGGGAGACTCTACGTATCAGAAAATCTTCCTTTTTCCAAACATTTAGTTCACAGCAAGATGCATGAAACTTCTATCACAGTAGTAAGACAACCACTTTGGGCAGCATCTTCCAAAGAGGCTAGCTCAAAACCTAAACTGAGCTACTGCAGAAAGTGAAACTTCCATAGAGTAGTGAAAAACTGTTTATTTTCCAAGTTACTAGAGAAAATGTCCTACCTTTGAGTGCTGTGGTGTGTCAGGAGCCCTTGCACTAGTGTCAAAGTCACCTGATAGGGCATCGATAGCTGCAGAGTCATCCACTCGCTTCTGCAATAATTTAAATTCTGAAGTCACACAATATGCAATACTTCCCACAGTCAACTTAATGTTTCAGGGATTTACGTCTGCTTTAATTATACTTCTCTTAAAACAAAACAAAACAAAACAAAACAAAAAAACCCCCCCAAAACCAAATTATACCTGGGCTCTACACATACGCTAGGACAGAGATGTCTATTTGAGGTTTACAAGACACAGTTTCTTTCAATACTGTACCTGAACATTCACATCATTAGTTGCATATAAAAACTATAATTATTGTTAATCTTCACAGAAATTTTACTATTCACAAAGTTACTATTACTTACTCCATTCAATAGCATTTATGAGAACCTGCAGTGAATCATGCCTTGAGCCTACAATGACACTACTTTGGAAAACAGGTCAGAGTACACAGCATGCAACAAAGCAAAGATACCATAAGTGTTACCTCTGGTTCTCTGTGTTTCACACTGCCCTTTGCTGTTGGATTTACTGGTTTACCCTTGGGAAGAAAAAGATTATATCCTCACTTTGAACTGCTCAGATCAGGTTTAAGATACACGTATACTTATATATATGACATTGGGGGTTTACAGATCATGAAGAAAGTTAATTTCTTTGTTTCTTGTGCTATGTACTCAAAGACAGTTCATGGTATCTTTTCATAGTCTGTTACATTTACAATATCATCTTTCTATGTAGTCTACTGGAAAAGCAATTTTCTGATCCAAAACCTACTGATCAAAACCTACTTTTTCTTGTTTTTTGAATTAAATGCATGCAAGGATATACAGAGCTACTCTATCTGTAGGATATTTACATGTTTAACACAAATACGAAAATATAGTACCCACTTCCTCAGCTTTCCTGTTCTTATAAAACCAACAAGGACAGACTGGCTCATACACACAGATTTATGGTGTTGCAAGTCCAAACTAACAAAGTTAACAAAACTAACTTTTCCTTACCTGCTCACCTGACTCCAGAAGTTCCTGATAATCAGGTGGGATGGTATCATCTCTTTCTCCAAGTTTGTCTCTGTGTTCAGATTTAGCCTTTTCCTGAAAACATTTAAGTTTTTAACAACTGAATACTTATGTTAGAAATATTAGCAAACAGTAGTCAAGAGTACGCAAATAAACTTGGGACAGAACCTTTTTTAAATTTAAAATTTTTAAACTATCAGAAAAAAACATATATATTTATTTCACTATGAAGTGTGTTTCATGCCTGAAAGTTTTAAAATTACTAGCTCTCAGTAAGTGTACCCATTTAGTAAGTTAGACATATGTAAACAGCAGCATGCCAAAATAAACAAAGAAGTCATGTCAGTTTTCAGTTTTGCTTTTCAACAATATGGCTAAAAGAAGTCATTCCACACTTCTCTGTCAAATCTCATCCATGCACTGTATCTTTAAAACAAAGCCAATGTTCCTGCAATGTCTTACCTGTGAATGCATCCCAGTACCTTCAGCAGAACCCAGGCTATGTATCAGCCTCACACCCAAACTGATCAAGAGTGGCCTACGCTTCTCATCAGACTTCAAAGCCAGGCTCAGTTTCAAATCCAACACAACTCAAAGCCAGAGCAGCACAAGCTCTGGAGACTCCATCAAGGAGGGAAGCATTCCTTTCACTACATTTATTTTTCAATTTAAGCTGCACAGCTTTCTGACAAACATACCAGAAATGTACCAAACAAAACACCTGGTTTGCATACAAGTAGGTTTTTAAGCACACTGTTGAAGAGTACTTTTGTATTTGTTAATGAAGACATTTTAATTATTTTTTTTTATTTTTTGAACATAGGCATTTTCCATGCCTTTTATAAGGAACAACACATGAATAAAGCTAGGCTCCTACAGCTCCACTGAAACACAGCAGCTGCTGAGATACACCACATCAAGCATTCACTCCTCTGCTATAGCAAGGGACAATGCTGCCCAGGCTGCCTACTGCCTATTCCCAAGGCAGCCAATAACCTCTGCACAGGAACCTGTCTGAGATTAATCTCCTTCTAGATTCCAGACTGAATTTATCAATGAGCATCTTACGGTGGGTTTGTTTTTTTTTTCCCCAATAGCATCCTTTTTCTTAATTATTTCAGTTTACAATTTACTATTATGCAGAAATGTGCCTGATTTTCTTACTACAGGCAAGATCTTTATACAAGTATATGAAGAAAGACTGAATGAAGACAAAGCAAGCAGAAACAAGCAAGTTAAAAAATGGGACTGATTAAATGAAGACGTCTGTTGATGAACTTGTTTTTTATGGGGTTATACAAGTCCAAGTTTGACAAAAAGAAGGCTACAAAATTAATTTTTTTGAACAGACACCATAGAAGACACCTGGAAAATAATTAGAATAACAATAAAAGGCACTGAAACCAAATTATTGCAAATTTCCTGTAATATTTCAACACTCACCCCTAAGTGGCTAACGTATATTTATCTAATTCAACATTTGTCACAAAACACACAAGTAATCCAGTTGGCTCAAGAGTGGCTGACATGCCTCCATTTAGGACAATATAAAAGTATGTTGTTTTTTTACTAGGAATCTTACTTCTGTATCTAAAATGACATACCATATGCTCCTATAAGTGTGTAAAACATACTGCAGTATTAAAAAATATATATTAAAAAAACCCAAAACATCCAACAAGTAAGGTATCTCAGATTTTGTTTGTTTGTTTTTTTTTCTTTTGTTAGGGTTTTTTTTCAGTTGTTTAGTTTACCCACCAGATTGCACAAGTTTCAGAATGTCTTCTGTTACCTTTACTTTGTCCACAACCAGTTTGTTCTCATCAGGGACAGGTTCCCTCTGCCCCAGGGAATCAGACAGGAGATCCAAGGCTTCATCCATCTCTTTCCCTCCCTAACAAAGTATAAACATATTCATGAATGCAAATCTGCTGTAAAAATAATTCAATTCACCAAGCTAATACAAGTACTGACTAATGAACTGTCAACTTCAGTGAACAATGACCAATCAGCTCTCCTTTTGTAATTACAGTGTAGAGCAATACTGGGGAAAACAATTACAGAATATTTAGACATACAGAAAACATAATTTCAAGAAGGGGTTATAGAATTTATTTTAATGACTTTCATTACACATAGGCCTAAACGATTTAATGAGAACAGTTCTATGAAAAGACTGGGTTTTGGCAAATGCCACTGATTTTGCAAACATCATTATCACTGCAGATTAGCTGTTAAAGAAATGTCAATCTGAATTAAAACCCATTAACATTTTTATCTTCACAATATATACCCTCTTTTGCTAATTCACACCAGCTCTATTCAAAAAATGGTTTGGAAAAAAAAAGCCCTTAAAACCAATAATAACCCAAGCAGGAGGAGCTTTATAGTCCCCTCTCAAATTAGGCTGGAAACACTAGTTAGTGCACAACTGCACAGATCAAAATGGGTTAAAAAATGATCCAGGCAACATGACAACTAAAAGCAAGGAAGGGAAGTTCTGGTATTAAAAGAAGGTGCTGGTGCTGCCTGTCCCTTCTTTAATCTTGAACTCCTCCTTTTAGAAGCTTAACAAATGACTTTGCTGCTATGGTGATTGGTGACGGCTACACTATTATTATTTTAAATGTTCTCATAATGTTCCTTACCTAACCAGGAAAAAAATGGTGTTCTGCTAAGGGCCCAAGCCTCAAAATGAAACCACTTGCGCATAGGTAACTACCTGCACTGACACATAGAAAGGAAATGCAGACATCCTACGATGTGCTCTGTAACTTTGTCCAGAAATTCATACTTTCCCTCCCCCTCCCCTCCCAGGGGGAACATTTCCTTTCCTCCCGCTTGCCATTACTAGCAACAAATTGTTTAACTGTGCAATAGTCTGTATCAATAAAACTAGTCAGATCATGCTTCCATCTCTCTTAATTAGTCAATTCTGAATTTCAGAATAGGATTTACAGAAAAGGTTGCTTACAGAGGTAGAAGCTAGGGGAGCTGCTGAGCGCACTAAAGAAACTGTAGCAGCAGAGACAATGTCGGAAGAACCTGCAGAATTTTTGACCTTCTTGGTTTTCTGAAACAAGACACAGCATCATTACTAACAGAGAGGTTTAAAATAAAAACATACATCAAATTCCATGCCTCCAAAATGCAATACCTGCCCTCTTTATTTCTAGGACTTTATTTTTTTTTTCAAAGCTCTACTTATTTCAGATTGAAACGTCTTTCTGTGAAGCACTGCACAACTGTTTTGCATCTCAGTTTGCTCATGTTCAATCTTCCATCCCAACTACTGGGTTAAACCTTGTCATAGCTTAAGTCAGAGACAGGTTTAATATACCTTCAGAGGAGCTAAGACTTCACCAAGCCCATCTATATTCCCAAGCAAGACTTTTAAAATTCTCAACTGCAAAGCATTACTTATGCAAGCAGCTGTTAAAAGATGACAACTAACTTACCTATTTTTTTCCCTCATTATTAAAATACTGCTCTCCTATTAATTTGTTGCAAAAATATTTTAAATTTTAGTTACCGAATTTGATTAGAGAAAGTTTACATGAACTTTGAGGAAAACATAACATATCAATTGATATCAACTGAAAATATCAATTGATATCAACTGAAAATATCAGTTGAAATAATCTGAAAATAAACAAATTTTCAGAAATCAAATATACTCACCTTTATTACAGTTTGTGTAGGTAGTGGTGCAGATGGAGATGGAGAATAGGAAAATCCTTCTGACAAACCCTCTAAAAGATCATTTTCACTCATAGGCTAACATTAAGAACAAAAAGAAGAGGCTTGTAAGCATTTTCATCTACTAAAAAGTGAGCAGGTAACATAGTCTATCTCCATTTTTTAACTGAGAACTGGGAAACCTTACTGACATTTGGGTAAGTAATTAATGAATGAAACACTGAATATTCACTTTTTTACCTGGGACTTTTCTTCTGGTTTTGGTAAGAGTGGTTTTCCTTCTTTATCCTACAAAATAAAAATCCCCTTGTATTATACCAAGCAATCTTTAAATGACTTTCAATACAAGTACTCTGAGAGCACTCAGCAAACAGAAGAGTATTACACAAGAAAACGACCTAACTAAGCAACCTCTTCCATCTGTTGCTGTTACTCAAAGTGTCATTTAATAAATCCAGGCTCTGTAACTTCAAAATATCTGAGTGCTGGAAAGTGATTCAGTGTGGGATTCTGAGCTTCCCTACTTAATGTTTCAATTTCCACAGAAATAGCACAAGTAAAATAAAATACCAGCCTCTATCAACATTGGTAACAATAATCCTGCACACAGATTTCAGAAAGGCCATTATCTTTTCACAATGGCAGCTGTGGCAGATGTTGTGCAAATCTTGGCTACACCTAAACTACCCATTTATGTCAAATGAGTCATGTGGTGATGTCTGCAAGCATACCACCTTGAAGCATTTTTTAACAGCTTTGAGCAAACGCAATTTACTAAGTACTAGAATACAGAAAGCTAATGAAAGATTTCAGGGAAATAATCTCAGCCTTAATTATTCCTGTGTAGGTACTTATATCCAAACTACTTCTGTGCCTATTCAGGCATCTAATGATAGATGCCAGATATTCAGAAACTACAAACAGAAATTTTTATATGCTAAAAAAATGGCTGAACTAAACACCAACATATAAAAATGAAATGGAGTTTCAGTTTCATCTATGTATTCTTAGGAACGGAAGGAAAGTAAGAGTAAGATAGCACATTAAATAAACTACTTTTGCTTCTGTTAATCTGTACTCTGGAGGAATTGTTTCTTCATCTTCACCCAGTTTTTTGTGTTGCTCCTGGTTGGTTTTCTCCTGTGAAGGCAAAATCAAAATAATATAAATAAAACCAAACAACTACATTCCAACAGAAATGCAGATGAGCAAGCTTTTGAGGTCTTTGGTCTCCTGAGTCAAATTAGTCTTTCTAATCCAACTATCAGATAAAAACCTCTTGAAAATGAGAAGAAAGCCTATTCTCTTGAGAAAGCCTTTAATTCTCTGCCTGTTTCCTCCTATATATATCAGAAGTACCTCTACCTATTTCAATTAAGATCAACAGAGTTAAGTAAACAGACAATCACAGACCAATCTAAAATAGATTTATACCCGAGTCTTAACTCTTGACTTCTTCTGAAATCCTCTCAACAGCTGTCTGGGCTGTGTGCAAAGGAAGGCTGGACAGAGAAATCTGTAGCCAACTTCAAAAAGCACTATCCTCTTATGTTATGTTAGAAGATGGCAACTAGAAAAAGGTAGTAAAGCCAACTTTGGGAACTTCTATTTGATGGAGTTCCAGCCCACTCAAAATGCTGTCCTTCCTAGTTTTGGCTCCAGTCAATACCACCTGGGCCATGGTCTGGGGTGGCAAATGGGGGTATTCAGACTGGGACTATGAACAGCATTCACGAAGAACACACATACTTGAGTGTGTTGCTTAAGGCTCCCTGTTAAAATAACAAGATAAGTGGCAAAAAACAGGTTTATGTATCACTTGTAATTTAAACAACTCATCATGAATTTGGTGCCTTTTGAAAGAAGATTGCTACCTCTGATGTACCTGTTAATTCTGCTTTGGTTCAGCAGTAAGACACTAAACAAATGCAGTTTTCAGAAACTGAGGGAACTGTTGTATTGTAATAGGCAAAATTATAAGAAAATATACTCCCTCTGCTGAAAGCCTACTAGTACTTCCTAAGCAGAACACAACTGGTTTCATAGGTACATTTTGTTTTTTTTTAAAAAAAGAAAAAAGTTAAAAGTATTACCTCTAAATTATTTCTAGCCTGAGGAAATACAGTAACACTGAAGGTAATTACATCAACAGTCTATTTTTTGAGCTCTGATTCTTTCTCCACCTTAATTTTGTCCACAGCAGGCTTCTTTTGATCTGGATCAGGCTCCATCTTTCCTAGGGTACTGGATAAGGCTTCCAGTGCTTCATCTGCCACTTGGCCAACCTGCTGGGGTATTGATACAGTAAAAAACAATTCTTACTTTGCAGTTCAGCTGCAGCTGAATAAACCTGTTCACATACAAGCCACACATTCCTTAAGGTAAAAACTGCTAAGTAAACCAAAAAACAGTAATGCTTTTTTCCTTAATTGCTTTCACATACTTGGAATCTCCTGGGTTCAAGGCATAAGGAAACTTTGTCAGAGGTTCCTCTGTAAACAGGCATCTGCCTTCGAAAGACTTAATCACAGCTAAAATGTTCCACAGGGAGGTTGTTTGTTTTGGGTTTTAATAAAATCATATATATTCTGCAAACAAGTGCAAGAATGTCAGCCTTTAATGTCATTTTCCTTCAAATTATTCAGGAGGACAATTGTTATTTTTTTGTAGAAACTGTCTTTTCCTGCAAGTATCCATTATGTTCACAAGCAACATCCCTTTTACAGCAGTAAGTGCTAGAGTAGACCACAAGAACTGTCAGTTCGACTTCTTCTGTTAAGAAGGTCTCTGATCTTCCCCATTCAGTTTGCGTTTGACTTTATTTTTTGTTTGTCTGTTTGAAAGCACGCTGCCTTTGTGGCTTACCTCTAAGGAGGATTAATATAAAATACTGAAACAAGCACCTCGAAAACATGGTATACCATTGCATAAATGAAGCGCTGAATTTCCAACTAAGACTACTCACTGAAGACACAGCTGTTGCAGCTGAAGACTGCAGAGTGCAAGCTGTGGCACAAGGGACTGCTTCATCCTCAGTAATTTTTGCAGCCACAGAATCTGAAGGCGTCTGAAACAGAACAATTACACTACATTTTACTGATTATGCTCAGAAACCCAAAAGGTGGCTGTTAAGTGCCCTCCCCCCCCCCCTTTCTTTTTAATACAGTACAGATCAAGAAAGAAAAGTCTAAATTTAAAGGCAAAAACCCCTCAGTTAAGGCCTAACTGCCAATCCTCCATGCAACTGGGGGTTGGGGGACGGGACCAAAAACAGAAGAAAGTATTTTTAATGAAAGAATAGTAACATCATCCACTCTTAGCAAAACTATCACTGTCAGCATCTTCACTGAACTAGAGAGACATACTCTGGACATGCTGCTGGGATTTGATGGTTTGGACTGTACTGCAGGCTGGGCAGAGCACACAAAGCCTTTTGAAAATTCATCAACAAGATCAGATTCACTCAAAGGCTGCAAAAAAAAACAATCCCATGTGGTAGAGGTGACTCACTGCCTGGTTTTAATTTAACTTTCCAAGAATTTTACTTCAAGTACTTAGAAAGCAGGAAAACTTTTGTAGTCAACACCAAAATAATCTTTCACATTTATGTGCAACAAAACAACGTGAGTTTTGTGGTGCATAAAGAAAGAAAACAGCTTTTCAGAATGAGTCAGTTGCTTTGTTATCAAAAGTCAGTACAATGTAAAGAACATGATGTTCAATACTGTTTACAGGGCTACTGAAAGGAAAAAGGAACCTCTTAGCTAGAAAAACAGATATTTAACAGAACAACTTACAGAACCACTACTGAATTATATTTGTGTCTCTGACTGATAAAGATGAAAGAGCACAGAAGTATTTATTCTCCTACCAACCACTTAATTCTTCTGGCATAAGACTTCATGATTCTGAGTTCATCTTCTGCTTTGGTTTTGTACTGGACTTCAGTTAAGCCATGAACCAACCTCCTTTAACTCATGGCAAGTTCCTCTTCTGGAGCTTTTCTGCTTTTTGTGTCCTTCTCTTTTGTGCTCCCTATGAAACAGGAATGCTTGTCTCCTAAACATCAGTGCCTGGCTCCCTCAGAACTGTTCTCCCTTTTTTTCCTATGACATGATTGGCAGGTGTTCCTTCTGCGCAGCTCTATCGCAACACCCACTACAGACGATTCCATGTCTAAGACCCAACACACGAATTTCTAGAAATGAAAAGTCTTTACACCACTGCCTTTGCACTCCTCGGTATTTCAAGCTTGAATAAGATAAACGAGTTCACATTCCTGCTAAAAGGCATGGTGTCACTCTTGCTCAGATTGATCCTGACTCATTTCAGAAGAACAGGGGTTTACTGTACTTATCCAATTTGGCAGCTCTCATCAACTCACAGTATTTGCAAAGTGAAGCCCCGTTTCTTCAGTGCACAGTTCCTTTGCTTTTCCCAATCTTTGCTTTCTTCCTGTGCATTTTAAATTTAAAAAAAACCTCTGTAAGTTCCAATCTTTTCATTCTATCTTACACATCCTAGGCCACAATGGATACTTTTTGCAAAGTACAAGTTGTTCTTCATGATTAGGAAAATATTCACAGTGGCTTTTTCCCTCTTTCCAGTCATGTTCCTTTATATGTGATGACTAATGAAAGGGAACTGTCAAGAAAACAAAAGATTTTCCTGCCTTGCCTCTCTCTGTCCTTCAACAATTCCAACAGACTTCTACAGAATACCTTAAACTAACACCCCACACAGCTTTTGTTTGCGTCAGCAGTCATTTCTGTAATTCTCTCCTGTGTCAGTTATCTCTAAACTTTTTTCTTACTGTTAGCTCTTCATTCGCAGCCAGCAAATTGCAAGAAATCCAACCTTCACTTGACACTTCAGATCAGCAGGTTTTGTGGAAGGCAGTAAACACACAAGCAGACCAAGAGACTTACATGATGGCAGAGAGAAATAACAACAGAGAAGGAGAAAACAGGGTATCTATTCACACTCTCTCAACATTGTCAGTTTTCTAACCTTAGGTTTTTCCTCAGGCTTTGGCAGTACTGGTTTTCCATCTTTATCCTAGAAGTAAAGTAAGTATAATTGACATTTTTCCATTGTTTTAAGAAATTCCATGCTCCAGCAAAGTAACATAAAGTAAATGATCAAAAGAACGCATCAAAATGTATCAAAAGGAATGTGACCAGCAGGATGAAGGCGGTGATCCTGACACTCTGCTCTGCTCTTGTGAGACCCCACTTGAAGTACTGCATGGAGTTCTGCTGTTCTCAACATAAGAGGGACACGGAGCTGCCGAAGCAAGTCCAGAAGAGGGCCACGAGGGTGGTAAGGTGGCTGCAGCACCTCCTGTATGAAGACAGGCTGATAAAGTTGGGGATGTTCAGCCTGAAGAAGACTTGGAGACTTCAGAGCAGCCTTCCAGTATTTGAAGGGGGCCTACAAGGATGCTGGAGAGGGACTCTTCATCAAGGACTGCAGCAATAGCACAAGGGGTGATGGTTTTAAACTTGAACAGGGAAGTTCATATTAGGTAAAAGGAAGAAATTCTTTACTGTGAGGGTGGTGAGGCACTGGAATGGGTTGCCCAGAGAAATGATAAATGCCCCACCCCTGTCAGTGTTCAAGGTCAGGCTGGACAGAGCCTTGGGTGACCCGGACTAGTGTGAGCTGACCCTGCCCATGGCAGGGAGGTTGGAACTAGATGATCTTTCCAACCCAAACCATTGTATGATTCTATGTTACTATGATAAACACAAGATGAAATCAGTAACATAGTTACAGGAAATCCTCTAAACAGGGCAAATTCTTACATAGCCAGGTAAATGGATAAAACAAGCAAATATGATGTCAGCACAACACAAACAGGCCAAGAGACCAGAAAGAGTTCATTCCTGTCTGGATCAACATGCAGCAGAAATTAATTCCCTAGTAAACTATCAAGAATTCATCTAGTAGTAAAAAAGGCTTTGAGTGCAAAAGATAAACTTTTGCACTTAACAAATAGAGAGTTAAATCCCACATCTGTAGTCACGTAGTCTTGAAATCTCTAAAAAGAGGGGTAAAACTGCTCCTTTCACAACAGGATGTTAACATCCAGCTCTAGCAAGACCATTTTATATAGCAACCTTGGTAACATCAGTTAAACTGTTGCAAAACCTTCCAAATCTGAACTTTATGGAAAACACATCTCAGTTCTATGGTTGGTTTTTTTCACCTTGAGAAAAAAACTCCATCACCTGGAAGTGACATTCTAAAAAAATTAGTTTAATTTTCATACCATTTTACAACACTGTTTCAAGGTTACATTACAAAGTGATACCTACCAGCACTTCCGTAAAGGGATGGATTTTACCATATTGAGTTTTAGTATCAGAAACAAGTAACACCACTCTTGGAGAAAAAGTATGTGATTCGGGAAGATAAGATCTTTGTTCATACACCTGAAAAACCCACTCATGCCCACAAAGGGAAGGAAACTAGAGATACAGAAATCACCAGCAGGAAAAAGCTGCTGATTAAACACTAGTTTTGCTTCATTTTCCTATACTCTTTCCCTCTCCGAGACAAAAATGTCAGACATGTGCCCTATTTACACAGCAATGAAGATACAAAAAACTTACCAACTTAAGTGTTAACCTGTACTCTGGAGGTACCGTATCATCAAGTTCTCCAGCCTTTTCTTCCTTTTTCTCCTTAGCTTTAGCCTTAAAAAAAAAAAAAAAAAAAATCACAGAAATTACAATAAAAACTCCAAAACAGACTCAATTTCAAGATTCATCAGCCTATTGTTTGAAGAATTGGTATCAGATAAAATTATTCCATACAGTAAGATATTAAAATTCCTAAATTTATTCCTATCAAATTTATACGGTAAAATCATCTTGGTTTAAGAATCAGCGCCATATGTGAACACAGCTGTACTATTTTAAATTTAAAAAAATACTCAGAGCTATAGCTTTGTGGCACATCGAGAATTTCTGTGTGTACAAAACCCTCAGGTTTCCTTGGATTTCATCACTTTGATTACAGAAGCCATAATTCTGTATCTTTTTCCATCACTGCTACTGAAATTCAGCCTTTAATTTTCTGGATATCCTTCCAGAATTAATGCATCCACTATGTAATCTGAAGGCCCAGGCTACTGCACTACCTGCACTACTACATGCTCCTTTTGGTAAAAGTTTAGCTCCGACATTTTTTCTCAGCAACAAATTATTCTCTGCTATTTCCCTGTCATTTGCTTGTTCTGAGCTGTAAGTGAATACAAGGGAAAATAACTGTTAGTGGCAGAGTTATAGGCAGAGTTTGCAAAACTAAACTATGACTAAACTTTGACTAAAAAGTCAAAGTTTAACATGCACACACAGGGCTACTGTTAAAATCTAACTGTTAAAAACAAAATTCTTAGAAGTCATAGTGAAAGGCAAAACCCAAATCAGAAAATAATGGGGTCTGATGGATAAAGGAGCACAGGCACTAAACACCTGAAAAGTCAATTAAAAATGAAATTATAAACATATGCAAAACAAAAGCTTGCTATAAATTGTACCCAGTGCTTGAGAAAAAAAAAACAACAGAGCTATAACTAACACAGTGCGAGGTGTATGTATGTAAGCTTGTAGAGTCAAATGAAATACTTATAATTTTCCAAACCATCTTACTGTAATTTTTTTTTTTACTTGTATCCACTCAGGATTTCTTCACTTCTTAATTTTCTTAATCATGTAAGAGTCAGATATTCCTTAGGCCTCTGATATGAAAGTCTATTTTACACATTTGTACAATATCTAACAAAGAGGTCATGTGATTCCATGGGAGAGTCTGAAAACTGCTGTAAAAGTGAGTAAGACTATACCACTGCCACCTCTACAACAGGGGTATGATCTTCAGGTTCAGGTCCACCAAGAGTACCAAGAACTTCCATTACAACACCTTTAATTTTCTGCATTTAAGAAAATTCATAAATCATTCAATTACTAATTTAAATTGACAAAGGTTTTACCTCATAGGTCTTTTATGCTGCATATGAAACAAACAGCCAGCACCAGACTGGTCATTTCTGTTTGGCTTTACCTGATTTCCTTAACACCACATTGGAGGACATTGCAAATCATGTGGGAAGATTAACACAGTCTAATCAATATGTATCTCCTCTTAAGGAGAGGGGAAAAGGAAAAAAATAGGGGGGGTGGGAGAGGGGAGGGAGCACAATATCATATAATACAATTGTGAAATGCTTTGACGTGGTAAACCCAGAATGTATAAGATCATATTGCTCTCTACAGAGGAAACAAGAAAGGTTTTTGAAACATGAGAAAAGTACATCAGATACAAGTTTTAAATACACCTCACACAGCTAAGAAAACACATACATTTTTCTACTCTTGCTCATAGCCAGAAAAACCACTGTTATTCTGCAGAATAATGCAGAAAGAAAGTAATCTGACCCACTGAGGTACAGCAGAATCTGAGCAATGACAATTCCTATTATTCCTATAACTCCTATGATAAACAGGATTTACAGCTGAAAATCAGGATGATCATAGGATCACAGAATGGTTTGGGTTGGAAGGGACCTTAAAGCTCATCCAGTTCCAACACCCTACCATGGGCAGGGACACCTTCCACTAGACCAGATTGCTCCAAGCCCCATCCAACCTGGCCTTGAACACTGCCAGGGATGGGGCAGCCACAGCTTCTCTGGGCAACCTGTGCCAGGGCCTCACCACCCTCACAGGGAAAAACTTCTTCCCAAGATCTCATCTCAAGCTCCCCACTGTCAGGCTAAAGCTGTTCCCCTTGTCCTGTCGCTGCAGGGCCTTGTCAAAAGCCCCTCTTCAAATTTTTTTTTAGGCCCCTTTACATCTTTACAAGATCAGGCAAACATAAAACACAACACGTGCTTGTAATTTTTAGTTAGAAGTCAACTACTCAATGTATTATTATATATACCTCTTTTGATTTTGTTTTCTTCTCCTTAGGAGGAACTGAGGTGTTTACTGAACTTACTGCTTGTGCTTGTACAATTTCTCCTTCCTTACTTGGTTTCTATGAGAGATACAACATTACAAGCAAATTTAAAAAAAAAATCAAAAAAAAAAAGGAGAAAACTGGCAAGATAATTTTAAAGTGAACTACTAAGATACCAATGGCAATGTTCCATTGCAGTAAAGGCAACCAATTGCAACAAAAATATCAATACCTCTGTCAGACTTGTCTTTTCTTCAGCAGAAGCAGTACTACAGGTGAAGTCTGATGACAAGGCCTCTGCAAGCTCATCATCTGTCATTGGTTTCTGAGCGAGAAATTGCAAACTAGGTTATGATTATTAAATTTCAAATATCAATAGTGTCAAACTTGGTTTAAAATCTGAGTGCACTCCATGCTTACTCACACAATGACCTCATAACAACACAATGGCATTGCAGAAAAATTGTATTTCCCCTCAATGATAGATTCATTTTTCAGATAAGCTTTATTTTTTTATGTTAAACTTATAAAACAGTAAAATGAAGCTGGCTTACAGAATTCTCTTGTGAAGTACAGAAATACAAATTGTCTTTGCTAAAGACATATGCACGGCTACTATTTCTTCCTTTTGTTATTATTATCGCTAGTATCTCTACGCCCACTTATCTGATTTGTTTCAGCTTCAGTCAGTGTTCTGAAAATTCTTACTTCTTTATTAAAATCATCTGTGTCAAAGTCTAATTTCTGTGACAAGTTTTAGCAGCATCTACATTATCTGGCACCCCACAGACGTCTCCCACTTGCTGGGATTTTTGGAAGACAGGCAACACTTAAATTTTCTTAGGAGCAAATGATAGTTGGGTTATTTTCACCTTCCAAATTTTTTTTTTTTTAAAGGTAACTTACTTCCTCTCGTTCATCTGCTTTTGGTGGGAATCCATCTTTGCCACCCCCTTTGCTCTAGAATGAGAATTAATTTTGTAGTAAATGGTAAGCAAAAACTTACAATATAAGAGAAAACACACATGAAGAATATGCTTTTTTTTTTTTAAACTCACTAACCTTCAACAATTTAACATACTCTGGAGGGAGACTACCTTCTCGTTTACCCAGTTCTTCCAGGTATCTTGAAGATATATCTTCCTATGAAAAGAATGCACATCTTAGTGTCTTTGTACTCTTGTTTATTGAAATAAATTTTAATGTAGAGCTATCTACAGTGATAATTCTGTAAAGAAAACAAAAGAGTTGGCTAGATCACAGGGACAATCCTGGACTGTCACTACAGTGTCTTTCAGACCTAGTGTCATGCATGTGGCATCTCAACTAGCTGCAACAGTGCACACCACCTAGCAAAACTTTCCCTCTCCAGATTTCTTCTGTATTAATATAGGACATTTCAGTGTCTCCCGCCATAGAATGTATTGCTGTACCTAAAGTGAATTCTAAATATTGATAAATTCTAAAATTTTCATCACAGCTGAGTACTGCTTTTAATCTTAATCATAAAATCATAGAATCGTTAGGGTTGAAAAGGACCTTAAGATCATCTAGTTCCAACCCTCCTGCCGTGGGCAGGGACACCTTACGCTAAATCATATCACCCAAGGCCTCGTCCAACCTGGGCTTGAACACTGCCAGAGATGGAGCATTCACAACCTCCCTGGGCAACCCATTCCAGTGCCTCACCACCCCAACAGGAAAGAATTTCCTTCTTATATCCAATCTAAACTTCCCCTGTTTAAGTTTTAACCCGTTACCCCTTGTCCTGTCACTACAGTCTCTAATGAAGAGTCCCTCTCCAGCATCCCTATAGGCCCCCTTCAGATACTGGAAGGCTGCTATGAGGTCTCCACGCAGACTTCTCTTCTCCAGGCTGAACAGACCCAACTTCCTCAGCCTGTCTTCATGCGGGAGGTGCTCCAGTCCCCTGATCATCCTCGTGGCCTCCTCTGGACTTGTTCCAACAGTTCCATGTCCTTTTTATGTTGAGGACACCAGAACTGCACACAATACTCCAGGTGAGGTCCCACAAGAGCAGAGTAGAGGGGCAGGATCACCTCCTTCAACCTGCTGGTCACGCTTCTTTTGATGCAGCCCAGGATACGGTTGGCTTTCTGGGCTGTGAGCGCACACTGAAGCTGGCTCATGTTCATTTTCTCATCAACCAACACCCCCAAGTCCTTCAGCTCAGGGCTGCTCTCAATCTCTTCTCTGCCCAACCTGTAGCTGTGCCTGGGATTGCTCCCACCCAGGTGTAGGACCTTGTACTTGGCATGGTTAAACCTCATGAGGTTGGCATCAGCCCACCTCACAAGCGTGTCGAGGTTCCTCTGGATGGCATTCCTTCCCTCCAGCGTATCAACCGAACCACACAGCTTGGTGTCATCAGCAAACTTGCTGAGGGCGCACTCAATCCCACTGTCCATGTCAGCGACAAAGATGTTGAACAAGACCGGTCCCAACACCGATCCCTGAGGGATGCCACTCGTTATTGGTCTCCAGCCGGACATTGAGCCATTGACCACAACTCTTTGCATGCGGCCATCCAGCCATTTCTTTATCCACCGAGCGGTCCATCCATCAAATTGATGTCTCTCCAGTTTAGAGACAAGGATGTCGTGTGGGACAGTGTCGAATGCTTTACACAAGTCCAGGTAGATGACATCAACTGCTCTACCCCTGTCCATCAGTTCCACAGCCCCATCATAGAAGGCCACCAAATTGGTCAGGCAGGATTTGCCTTTAGTGAAGCCATGCAGGCTGCCAACAAGCACCTTGTTGATTTTCATGTGCCTTAGCATGCCTTCCAGGAGAATCTGTTCCAAGATTTTGCCAGGCACAGAGGTGAGACTGACTGGTCTGTAATTCTCCCGGTCATCCATTTTCCCCTTCTTGACAATGGGGGTTATATTTCCCTTTTTCCAGTCATCGGGAACTTCACCTGACTGCCATGATTTCTCAAATCTGATGGCCATCGGCTTCGCAAGTTCATTCACCAGCTCCTTCAGGACCCGCAGATGGATCTCATCAGGACCCACGGACTTGCGCACGTTCAGATTTTTAAGATGGTCTCGAACCAGTTCCTCTCCTACAGTGGGCGCAAGGTCTTCAGTCTCACAGTCCCTGCATCCATCTGCCTTCCAAGACTTGGGTGGTTTGGTCAGAGCCTTTGCCAGTGTAGACTGAGGCAAAGAAGTCATTCAGAACCTCAGCCTTCTCCAAATCCCGTGTAGCCAGTTCTCCCGAGAGCTTCCTGAGGGGGCCTACATTCTCCCTAGTCTGTTTTTTATTTGCTATGTACCTGTAGAATCCCTTCCTGTTATCTTTAATACCTCTAGCTAAGTTTAATTCTAACTGGGCCTTAGCTTTCCTAACCTGGTCCCTAGCTTCTCGGACAACATCCCTGTACTCTTCCCATGCCACCTGTCCTTGCTTCCACTTACTATAAGCCTCTTTTTTCAATTGAATTTTCCTCAGAGGCTCCTCATCCACCCAAGGAGGTATCCTGGCCCTCCTGCTGCACTTCCTTCTGGTTGGGATGCAACACTCCTGAGCTTGCAGCAGGTGATCCTTGAAGATCAACCAACAGTCTTGGGCCCCTCTGCCCTATAGGGCTGTATTCATTCTTCTTATGTTACTTTCCCAAACTAACTCAGAAAAGTATGCTTCCTTCCCCGAATTCTTGAGGTATTACTCTTTCTCAAGTAGAAATGAAATCTCCTAGATTGCTTAATGCTCTCTTATGTCTCCATCATTGCCTTTTGTAGATTCACTGGAGACCATGCCTGGAAGTCAGTTAAAAAAGCAACAACTGTCTTTACTGACCCTGTTTTCTACTGAGATACATTCATAACTGTATCATTTCTGTTTTACTGAAAAAAGCACTAAAATGCAACTGTGCAAACTCTGTTTCACCCCTTAGGAGATCTAAGCAACAAATACTGTATCAATGTAGTAGTGAGCAACTATAGACATATTTCAGAGATTAATCCTCTAAAAAATAAAAATTAAAAATGCAAAATACCGTAACTTCTGGACCAGTGTAAACAGGACTAGTAGGCACAACTTCTTCAGGTCCACCCAGGGTATCTATTAGGCTATCTAGCGCTGACTCATCCATTCCAGCCTAAGGAGAAAAAAAAAATAAAAAATCAAACCATTCTAGAAGTTACCATGCTGTACAAAAAAAAAATCTGAATCATTTGGTGAATCTGCAGAAAACTCCTGGAAACAAGACTAAAAGCTTCCTGCACTTGCCAAATTTTTCAGTGGGAAATGTTCTTCCACTTCTTCCCTAGTGTCAGTAACAGACTCATTTGTATTCACGAACCAGCTCAGATGCAGGGATATACAAACATAACTGAAACTAAAGAGTAATTAAGTTTATGCTAGTTGTGGTAAAATTGATTCTAAACAAGCCCTATTTGACAAAGCATAAATGACATGCCACTAGTTTATTACCTATTCTTTCAGATAGTCCTTCACCACCATACGTAACTATTACATAGCAGTACTTCAGCAGTTACCGATATTTTTTTCCTGAAATAGAAGTGTTTCAGAGAGAGAAACACCCTCCAAGTCATTTTTACTTGAACGCATTTATCGGGGACTTCTTTACCAACCTCGCTGCTTGACTTATCAGCCACAGGAACTACGCTTGCACCAGCTGCAGAAGCCTCTGTGGACATTTTCTCAGACTTGGGCTAGAGAATTAAGAAAAAAAAAAAAAAAGAGCTACATTATACGGCCCTATGTTAAAAATTCAAGAGACAAAACAAAGTAAACCAGAGATCTTCTACACAGGCATACGTATCTATTTGCCCTCTTCATCTACATTTCGAATACGAAGCTGGTTCTACCTACTAACTGAGTGGTCTGGAAGTTGAGTAGCTGCACACTGTGTGATACTGAGCCCAGTCTAAAACATACAACTCTGAGGCTGCATGTATTTTTTTGGACTCAGCAACAGGCTAATGAACCTGCCCAGGGTCCAGATACCGGGGCAAAGCAAGCTACCATCTACCTGCAATGCTACAGAGTCATTCTCCATTTCCAGAGTGGTTCTGCTGTGATAAAGGAAGCATGCCATTTTAAGTACTTTACTCCCCTGTTCTACTTCACCAGTAAAAGAAATCTCCACTGCAGAAAGACTACGAGGCTCCTTTCAAGTCTCTTCTGAAAGCTTTCACTTATACCTCGTAGTTCTCAATATACCATAAACACTAGCAGCAAATACTGTTCAAACAGGAAGGGTGAGAACTGCTTCAGTGAGTTAGGTGCAGGCACAACACCAACACAAAATTAAGACTTTCTCATTTACTGCAAAAAAGTGGGTTACAACAGAACTGCAGGAGTCCTTCATATTACATTTGCTTTATCACCCAGACATGTGCAGACCAGAAAACCAAAAGATCTAGATCCTGACTCAACCACACACTTTTACTTCAGATTTTTCTCCACTTGCCCCTCTGAAAATGACTGCACCCCGAGTTTTTCCCCAACCTTTCTCTTCCTTGTAGTCATGGTTTATGGGCTACCTCACTGCAAACCTGCAACCTGCTGACCTACTACATATAGAGCCAACACTGCTACTACATAGATGCCTGGAAGCCCCTAGATGAACGAGCTCTATGATGGCAATGCTCACATAAACAAAGCTTGACTGACCAGACAGTCCCTTCTATTCACTTCTGCCATGAAGGGGCAAGGGAAAAGACTGGCAAAGTACCGATTCTAACAACGTAGCTGCAAGGAACTTGCAAAAAAGCTTGCCTGAACGGCAGAGGAGCCCCAAACCCATAACACATGGTAGCCAACCTATACTTGTGAGGATATTAACATCACTTGCTTGGCTAACAGGCAAGTCCTGGAAAAACTGATGTATGAAGAGGACAGCAAAAGGTGGACACACATCAGGATTACCAAAGAACCAGTGCAAACTACCCATACCATGTGGCTGGGTGGCTCAATCTGCAGCCGATGCTTATTCTCTAATGCTGTTATGGGTTAGCTGGAAGTGGTATATTCCGGATGGTGTTTATGTTACTTAATGGGTAAAATGTGAAGTTCCTACGTTCCAGACTTTAAAGCAGCACAAGGAGGTCTGTCACAGCCACCTTTAATCACAAGACAGCTCTTAAGCTTTTCTACATTGTGAATTTTGGGAGTGTAGTCTCACTTGCAATATTCAGCATAAGAATCCATCTTGAAATGAATTTTTAACCCCTATAATAACATAAACAGTAAAAATTTTATTTGCTACTTCTGCCATACCTTTGCTGTCTCTATGGAGATTGCTTCTGGAGGCTGGCCAGCTTGAGCTGTAGTTACTTTTTCTGCATTATTTGTTGTCAGAGAAGGGGAAGTTTGGCTTTTTGCCTGTGTAGAGACAAACTATTATTAGATACAAAAATGTTTATGGGATGGATTTGGGTTTTGGTGTAGTTTTGTTTGTTCATGGTTTTTGTGTTTTTTTTTTTAGGGAGGGAGAGTGGGAGGGAAGAAAGGAGGAAGGGAGGAACAGGGGAAGGAAGGGAGGAAAAGGTGGAAGGAAAGAAAGGAGGAGGGAAGGAAGGGAGAAAGGGAGGAAGGCAAGGAAGGGGACAAAGAGGAAGGGAGGGAGGGAAATACCACTGCAGCCTTTTTTTTTTTTTGGGGGGGGGGAAGAGTTTGGAAAAAAAAAAAAAAAAGAGAGAAAACCTGTACAACTTACGCCATTGGGTTCCTTTTGCCTCTCTTCAGACAGCTGTTTATTTTGAGAGTCTGTTGGCTGTCATAAAATAAAAAAACTTAGATAATTTATCCTTACCATCATTCAATGTTTTGAATCATGATCTACACTAGCTCAAATAAGCACAAGACAGATTAAAGGTGGTTAACAGAACACCTCCTGAGCTGCTGCATTTCCACGCCTGTTTGCTCCTTGCTCTTGTCAACACAGGAACATTAGAATGTTACTAATCACATGGCAGTTTCATGTGGCACAGCAGTGGCAAAGAGTTTAGCCTCTTTCTACAAAGTTAGTCATAGTCCAAAGTACAGCACTTGCCAAAGGTGAAAGGTAGGTATTTACCTTGGTTGACTGCGTGCTTTTTCCAGACTCTGTTATGGTTGTTGGTGCAGGCTGAAATATAAGTAACATATATTCAGATGGAGATTAATATACTTAGTTATTTCTAAGGAGTGAGCTTATAAACAGAAGAATATCAGGTTCATGTTTGTGAGCACTTATGCTATGTAATTAATATACAGTGTCCTGATCTAATAGTTTACAACATTCCGACACAGACCTCCACTCCAGTGCCCACAGGTCACATGCGTGCAAACACACATATACACACACTCCTCATATAGAGGATAGAAAAGAGAGGGAAAGAAGGTGTCAAACAAATAGAATGAACAGTTTGATTTACACTTGCAAATTTTCTGCAGCCATGACACCAAATTGATTCCTGTGATTCACCTCATGTCAAAGTACAGTAACCAACAGATTTCTACTAGTAGAAACATGAACACTGAAAAATTCAAGAAGTTGTATGTGATAAGAAGAAATATTGAAATGCTAGCCTCCTCACTGTATTTTTCTTTTTTTCCTCCTCTTATTTCTTCAGCAGTGCTACAATTAACACAAAAAGAGCCAGCCAGCCAGAATTCTTCCCTATCCCCTCTATTCTACTAATACACTGAGCACATTTAAAAGATACTAAGAGACAAATAATTGTTGTTTTTTTTTTCCCAGTAGACTATTAAAAATCAGTGAACAACCAAAAGAAAAAAAAAAGCAAACCAACTATTAGGCGGTAATTATAGATTTCTTTATTCTTGATAGATTTCTATTCTTCTTATAGATTTTTCTCATTTCAGCTCCCAAATATTAATTAACATTGCTATACTTCCAGCTTCTCTTTTCTAGCTGACCACATTTGCCACATTTGTTTACCGTGTGTTATGCAAGTATTCACACCCCCACAATGAACCACAGACACTTGGTTGGGAAATGCTGAATGCGCATAAAAACACAGATGCCTGGGCATAATCTTTGCAAAGATCTCAAGGCTGTACATCACAGTGAAGAACACACCACCACCACAAGTAAGTCCCAACATGGAAAATATTGAGGAGGACAAACATTTTCCAAAATCCAAAATGGAGAAAAAACCTAATATTAAAAAAAATATCACTTAACTTCTCAAGATTCCTTGCTTTGGATTTTCTCTTGATGTCTAACTTGATTAAAAAACACATATAGTATGATTCAACCATGCTGTATATGCTCCCACTTGTACATCCTCATTACATGACTACCATATGGTTAACTCAAAGACATACATCCACTATTTGTGTACCTGTAAATAATCCTGTATTGAAAAGGTAATCCTAGATTTTCAGATTTTAAGCTAAAAAAGGTTGGTCATGTTTATGTAGCATCTAAAGCAAAGAGTCAACGAGACATAAGACGTCCTTCAGCTGCAACGCTGCAGAGAAACCTAACAGATGTGCAAGCTTGAGGTCCAAGAAACAGAGTCTGACTTTTCCTGCTGTGGGACTGTTGTAGGCATATAGTTTGGGTTTTTTTTTTAAAAAGGACTTTTTATGTAGATATAGTTAAAAACTGGAACCTGTGTCACTATGGAAAAGCCTGAACAGATACAGGGGCCTCCTAAAAGGTCAGGATGACCTGGGAAAAACCCTAATGAAGATAATTGACAGCCAGGGAAGAGGCACTGGCCTTCTGCAGGTGGAATGAGAAAAACAGAACTGAGAAAAACAGGACTAACAAACCTCTGATCAGTAAAAACTATTAGTGAAGACTGGTACATCCTGAAAACACATGGACACTATCAAGGTACGTCTCTAATGTATCAGTATAACATGATTAGCGGGTTCTTTCGGTGAACTATCCTCATTATAATCTCATCTCTTAAACTAAAAATCACTCCCACAACTCGAAAGACTCCTGGACAGGTGAGAAGACCCCTCCCTGAGCAGCACTACAAAAACAAACAATGTCATCTTATGTACATTAACTGACCAGTCATTAAATGGTGGGAGGGTTACAGGGGTTTACTAACCTGAGTTACATTGTATAAAAATGTGAATTTTATGGGGCAGTGAGCTAGCTCAGACGGATACTACCTAGCACCCCTTTTTGAGCAAACTTGGAATAAACAAATACTTTGGCTCTGTGTGTGAGAACTGGCTATTGCACGCTTGGCAACCACAGGTCCTGGTTTTGGGACAACATGACTGTTGCCTGCTCAGGATTTTAAGTACCCTGTTGCTAGAGCACAAATTCAGGTTTTCCTGTTGTGCTTTTCAGAAGAGGAGTAAACACCCTTTTTCTGCAGGACAGTAAAGTCTATTTTCTTGCATTTCTGTCAACACATAACAACAGCTGTATAGAACATAAATTCAAATTCTCAGCCTGCCAAACCAGTTATTAGCAACTGCCTGCTTTTTCTTTCAATATTGTAAATATTATTATACTAAAGACTTAATGTGTTTTGGTTTTTTTTTTCAGGGTATGCACTATTCATGAGACTTTCATCTCTTTCAAACTGTGCAGAACTGCTCATGCTATAAATTTATCTGTGACAATGCTGAAGAATATATGGGCTCACACACATGATCATGAACACATACATACACACACACATTTATTCAGGTACACTTTTAGCAACAACAGAATTAAAATTGACTAAAGAAAGAAAAAATTATTACCAGGCAAGTCAAACCCACAATTTTGGTATGAGACTATGTATATTCAAAGGCAACAATTCAGTCATCCTTTAAATAGAGTCAGCTCTGAGCAATCACACCCTGAAGCCACAGCTCAGTTTACACTGAGTATACACTGATCTCCTGTGGAGAAAGAGATGTTCCCTTCCCCTCTTACTGCCTGCTTCCACCTGCACTGCACCAGTACCTGAAAGGCCACATCTTAAACTGACTCAGGAAACTGAAAAAACTGCCTGGGAAAGGAAATTAGGATTTTTTAACTAGTTACCTAGGTTACGGTGCAGTTGCACAACCACATGCAAAGAAAAGAAAGCTGGATGGGATCTGGTTTTGTTGTTGGCAGTACCCTGCTCCTTCCACTCCTCCAGTGAAAGCCACAGGATGCCTGCTCTCCACCCTAGTCCTCCAACCTTCCCACCTAACCCCTGAGGCTTCACCTACAGAACAAGGAGTTCCACATTCCTTTCTTTGCTGCAGTAACTCAGTTTTCTCAGAGGTGCATGATACTGAGGATTAATCTGAGGCAAAGGATTCACATACAGAGAACTGGAAGCTAAAGACAGATCCTGAGCATGTCTAAGAGTACTAACACACTAGTGAGACTCTAGGAAAGACAAATGAGGTGGTTATATCAAACAATCAAGAAAGATTTGGTAAATTGCAGGAAATTTTGGACTAGAAGTGAAAATGACTCAGCAACCACATTTCTTTTCAAAGAAGTGTACTGTCAGAATGCAGATGACTTGCTTCATCCAGCAGGAGGAAGATATTAATAATGCAACAGGCATTAAAAGAAAACATTAATTGTCTTACACATGCAAATGCACGACATGGTTTCAAAGGGATTTGTGTTTACCAGTCTCACAGCACTGGAGTACAACTCTGCCGCTCTATTTCTGTCTTGTCTTGCAAACATAAGTTTTAAAGATCTGATTAGAAATCTACCACATTCTTCTGAGTGTTACTTCAAATTTCAAGTAAGAACATAAACATTTTTAGACGGCTAATTGGGAAAACAGCATCAGTAACAAACATGATACGAGTGAGTTTGCTCACAAATGTGACAGGACATGAAACCAGAGATCCGCAGTACTTTCATTTGTAAGTAATGATGATCGTGCATAATGGAAAAGGTTTAATTGTCATACAGCTTACTGCTACCAGTATGTGTCTTACATGTATTCATGGAGGAAAAGGGTTTTAAAAGGCTGAGGGGAACGAAATGGCTAACTTCAAGCACAGAAAAGATGGAGCTAGGCTGTCTTCACAGATGAACACTAAAAGGGCAAGAGGAAACAGATAAAAGTTGCAGCAAATCAGAGAATCACACACTGGTTTGGGCTGGAAGGGCCCTTATAGATCACCTAGTTCCACAGGCAGGGACACCTTTCACTGGACCAGAGCACTCCAAACTCCATCCAACCTGGCCTTGAACACTGTCAGGGATGGGGCAAGGGAACTTCCCATTTCATAAAAAGAAAAAAAATCACCATCATGAAGGCAGCAAAACATTAGTCCTGGCTACCCAGAGATGTTGTTTAATCTGCATACTCGCATGTATTCCAAGCTCACCTGGCAATGCTGTGAGGTGTCTGTTTTACCTACAGAGTGGCTCCGCCAGGACTAGAGGACCTCCAACCTCACTATTCTACGTGTTCCTTCACTTGCATGTACCCAAGGTGCTGCGCAAGTCCTGGCTAGCCTAGTTTGGTATTCAAGACTTTTGTTGCTTTCACTGTTAAGATTATGGAAAATGACAGAGGGAGATATTCATTAATTGTTTGTTTAAACAATATTCATACATTCTGTTAGGCAACAGAGGCATAAGGGAGGATTACAGTTCTTGTCTAACAAGTAAAATACATGACTGATGACACAGGTTTGGCACTAAAAAAATTCCAGTCATAAGGCAAGACAGAACAAGCGTAAATAACAAAGGCAGAGAAGCTGTCAGACAGGCAAAGATAAGAAATTAACAAGAAGATGCAGCTGTACGTACATTAAAAGCTGAAGCTTGTCCTGAATTCTTTGAATATGAGAGATTCCATTAGGTAAATAACCCTGTAATTACACTGGGGGGAGCTCTATACATGTCACAAGATGTGACTGACCAACATTAGAAATTTTGATTTTTTTTTTTGTTTGTTTGTTTTATTGCTGTTACAAAATCCTCTGAGTGCTTTCTACGGCATTTTTAGATATTTTTTAAAGAGAAAAATAAGATTCAGATCAGACAGACAAAGTAAAGTTACTCAGTAACAAAGTGTTACAAAATGAATTCCATTTCTTCATATAGCTGTGCTTAACTGCAAGCACAAATTTCTCAGGAATTCATACCTTTGTTTCAGATGGCTTCATGGTTTGGGGTTTTGATACATCCACAGTAGGGGACTGCTTCTAAAAGGGAAAAATACAAACTAATTAATTTCACCTTTGTTATACATACTGCTATTAAGCAAGCATAGGCAACCTGAAATCATTAGACACAGCTAGAAGTTAAAAAAAAATATTACTGAAAATCAGACCTATCATTTTATGTCTTCTGCCTTGCCTGTATTTCTACAATAAACGTATGTAGGATTTTGACAGCATGATGCTTGTAGATCTCACAACTTTTTTTTCTCTTAACTTGTGCTGAAAACAAATTTCGCATGAAATACCAAAACAAACTCAATTCCTGGTCTCACACTGCAGCACACATACTGGCTGTGCAAGAGCTGTCCACATTTCGTTTTTCTTTTCTTTTGTGCAAAATGGTACTTCTGGATTTACTAGTCTGTTACATAAAATACTTAACACTATATTAGCAAACTCAAGTATGTTGAGTTAAAAAGGAATAATTTACCTCTACGTAACATAAACAGCGGTGTTTCTACCTATCACGCAACCCTGTTGGAAAAGCTGCAAATGAAATGGTCTGTTTTTCTAGCTTTGGTGATATTAATCTGAGAACAGCCTGTTTTAATTCTGCTGTGACTGTATCAAACTTTAAAGCCCAGACATTAATATTCCAATACATTATACAGATGTAATACTACTCCTCTGTTCCTGCCTCATGTTCCTCTGCTCAAAGCTCTATTTGCTATCTCGATCACAGCAACACATAGTTTACATTTAAATGAACAGCACAAGTTACTGACTTTTCTAGATTTCTTCTTCATGCTTATTATACCACTTGCTATATGAAAACACACAATCTGAATAAAGTCAGAAGCCATTCCACGAGTCCATACCTAGGGTGACGTCATACTCCCACAAAGAAAATCTTTTCATTTCCGTAACTTTTCATAGTACAAGCATTTCTCAATGGTAACACAAAAGTTGTACAGGATTTAAAAGGCACATTAAGATGGTGATGATGGCAGTGTGCTCTCCCCACAGGCATATGTAGTATCTTGCACATCTTAGTAAGAGGTTTGACTAAAAATACGCTAGGCAGGATTTGCAACTGTCATACCACAGAAATGTAAGCAAGTAATACCTGCCTCCATGTACGTATGTATGTCTAGATTGACTATGCAATAGATGTATGGGTGGAGAAGTACACAGGAATGTATAATGCCTCCTACATCAGGATAAGAACAAGTTTTTTAAGAACATTTTTATATATTGGGTGGTGTTGGTTGATGAGAAACTTCACGAGAGCCTGCTTCAGTGGGCTCTCACAGCACAGGAAGCCAATCTTATCCTGGGCTAAGTCAAAAGGAACATGACCAACAGGTTGAAGGAGGTGACTCTACCCCTCTACTCTGCTCTCGTGAGACTGCACTTGGAGTACTGTGTACAGTTCTGGTGTCCTCAACACAAAAAGGACATGGAACTGTTGGAGCAAATGCAGAGGGCCATGAGGATGATCAGGGGCTGGAGCACCTCCTGTGCGAAGACAGGCTGAGAAAGTTGGAGCTGTTCAGCCTGGAAAAGAGAAGGCTGCGTGGAGACCTCATAGCAGCCTTCCAGTATCTGAAGCGGGGCTACAGGAATGCTGGGGAGGGACTCTTCATTAGGGACTGTAGTGGTAGCACAAGGGGTAACAGGTTAAAACTTAAACAGGGGAAGTTTAGATTGGATATAAAGAGGAAGTTCTTTACTGTAAGAGTGGTGAGGCACTGGATTGGGTTGCCCAAGAAAATTGTGAATGCTCCATCCCTGACGGTGTTTGAGGCTGGGCTGGACAGACCCTTGGGTTACATGGTTTAGTGTGAGGTGTCCCTGCCCATGGCAGGGGCGTTGGAACTTCGTAATCTTAAAGTCTTTTCCAACCCTAACTATTTTATGAGTCTATGATTCTGCATATTACCATTGGGTAATTTGTAGGCAACACCGTATTTTCTTAATTGGCTCTTTATTAGTTTTTCCTTTTCTTTCTTCTCCATGGAATTAATCCACATTTCTTCTACGTGACTAACAAGTAGGTATGTCTTCTACGCCTTATTAGTCACCCCAGTCCCTGTCCATTTAACAAAAACATATTTACCTGAGCCCTTCTGCCTTTAGCCCTCCCCACCAAGGCATTTTCCTGCAATACACTAAAAAGTTCACTCCCAAGCTCCAGCACAGCAGCACCACTATGACCTGCAGAGAGCAGTGAAAACCTCAAAATAATCCAGCTGCTTCTTTTTACTCTATCCAGCTGGACTAGAGCAACTAGCAGCAACTAGATGAGTTTAAATGCTCATGGAGGAAGATTAACAGTTTGGGAACAGATGAGCATGTAATGCATAGCTGCTGCTCAGCACAGCTCCTACTCAGAACTATGGAGAATGCCACACCATCCTCCCTGTAAAGACTCAGGGCTGATTTGGGGAAACAAAATCCTGCTCTGGGAAGCTGGGGGAGGGGGAGGGGAAACGGGAAGGGTGGCGAGTAGCAGAGGGCACCCTCCTACAGACAGGCAGTGCTGTGTCACACTGGTCTGTGGGCTTCCTCAGCGGTATTACATGCCCCACTTGTCACCTTCTCCCTGAATTCCACAACATTCGCGGGCTCTTAGAGCATGTGTCTCCAAGCACACTGCACCTGGCAGACTGACAATGCAAAAAGCTGCGAGGTCCAACCCCCCTCATTTGGCAGTCACTGCACAGCCAGTAAACACCAGCCTGACTCTGTGGACAGCTTGTCACTGTGGTTGTTGTGGCTTTCCCCTTCTGAGGGCTGTGTACTATGGCCAGCTATGCCAGCTGTCAACCAGCTGCACAGTCAGACTGCAGAAGGGGCGAAGCAACACACAGATGCCTGTCAGGCGTGGATGTAAATATTAAACTGTTGCCTAGCAACAGGCATAATAACTGCCTGATGCATAGTTCTCACCATGGAGGTGCAAACCCCTGCTGAGCCTGGGCCAGACACCCCCTCACAAACGGTGAAGCTGCCAAACAGAACAGCAAGAACAAAGAGAGTTCAACTCACCCTGGCAGTCAGGGATTGGCAGAGAAAGCCAGGCAGCTCTCCCGCTGGGAGAGCAGGGTGTTTGTTGTGTTGTTAGGGATCCCCTGAGACAGAAACATGAGCATCACTGGTGCTGACACCTGCTCCTCCTGTGTCAGCACCCCTGTGGGTCCTCCCCAGACACAGGTACGGATGCTGAGGATCCCATTCCAGCCCCAGCCCTGAACCAAGGGAGGGAGCTGCTGGAGGTCCCGGCCTGTGGGACAGTTGCTGCATGGCTTTTCATAAAGCACCTTTGCAAGTTGAGCGAGGAGGCAAACTGGACAGCAAAGCACCCAGGACCACAGCGATTCATGGGCAAGAAGCATGACCACCTGCAGAGGAGCCCACCAACAGCATGAGACCACCACAACAGGGGCTCAAAAGACGAAGAAGAGGTTACAGGCTAACACTGATTAAGCAGAGGCTGGTAACTGAATTACCCACTGCAGGGTCACAGCCTGTGCTCTCACCAACCTGCTTGGCAGACAGGAGAGGCATGGACAGACAAGCACAGGAACTGACCAGCAGACCTCTGATGCTCTTGGCAATGAGTCAGAGGATGGCTTACCAGAAAGGGCTGATGAAAAGACTTGGATCTAATTTCGTAAGAGAAGGAATACCCTTAGAAACATATCTGTCAAATTAGCAGGGCAGTTGACATGGTACTGTTGAAAGAGAACAGTCACAAAAGCCAAGAAGTGGGTTAGTAAAACAACAAAAGAAGCTGACCAAAACCTGGTTATCTAGCCTCACTGCATGTACTGAGAAAAAAAATAAAGTGAGAAACATCACACAAAAGTAATTTTAACTGTGCAGAGAATTGGATGCAAACACCCTTTGGAAAAAACGCAAGTGAAGAAATCCGTGAGAGCACTGGTCATGGAGACCACCCCATATGGTGTTGAGAGCTATCAGCAACTAAAACTACCAACTTGGTGAATTCATGAAAACCGTTCATAAGACTGAGGAAGGCCAGTGCCCACCTTTAGAAAGGAGGCCGGTGCACCAATTGGCTACCTTTAAAAACAGAACAGACGCTGGAAAAATGTACCAAGCAACTAACACCGAAACACTTAGCTGACAATGTGAGAATAAACATGAATCAAAAGACTGATAAAGAATAAGGCACATAAAGACAGTGCAACACTTAATACACACAAACATGGAAATAAGCTCAGCAAACAGACCTAGGACATGTTGTCACTGCAACTTCTCATAGTACTTGAGGTGACATTTTCTTGAAAGAAATGGGGAAGGTGTTTACCTATGGTTACAATGCTACAGGCTAGCATACTCTTGCAAAATAAAACCAAGAAAAGAGGAATCTGAGATAGAAACCTGTTAACATGACAACATAAATGTAAAATATGAGAATAACTTTCCATCCTTTTTGGCTTGAGGATCTCTAGGTCAAGTGCTAGGACAGTTTTGGCTGTCACACTGCAATATAGATGAATAAAGAAAGACCTGAGGATCCGTTTAGGGAAAAAAAAAAAATAATAAATAAGTATGCATGAGGAACTTAGTGACAGGAAAAGCAAGTTAGCACCTGATGTGTCTTCCTCCAGTTAAGGACCCAAGAAAATGGAAAAACAGGAAAATGGCTTATTCTACAACAAGAATCTCTCAAGTGAGAGCTTCAAGATCTTCCTTTCTGGGAGATAAGTTGCTCCATAGCAGAAGCCATATAGACGAAGCAGGGGCTTGCAGCCCTAGCAGCCTTCAGGGAAGCTTATATACATATTTTCTCTATGGACAGAGTACCCAAGAGCCACCCAGGTACCCTTCTGGGCTTACACACATCTGAGGAAATTGGGGCTGTTTCCCAGACTAATGTCAACTTTACTATTTTAGTATTACTAACTTACAGAGTTACTTCAATACAGCTGTGCAATGCAAGGCAAAACCTAATCTAGCTGACTACAAATGGTTGCTTCTTTACATTACTGGTTCTGGTACCAAGTTTTAAT